GATTCAGTGTCTTAGAGTGCACATGCTGTTTGCTTTCCCATCATTAAGACTGTGAGCTAATAACATTGTCACTAATGTTTTTGACAAATTCCCCATCAATAACTCTTCCCTAAAAGAAAGATGCAAACTTAAACATGAAAAGAACTTATTAGACCCACCAGCATTTTGATAATTGCTAAGCATGCTGGCAGTTCCAATATATGGCGAATTTATCTATATTTACTTACTGGAGAGAGGTCTGAAAACACTCTGCATCTGTGGCCAGCATCCAGCTTTTTTTGCATGACCTGACCATGCACACAGAAGTCTGCTCTCTTTCTTCTGCACTCTGGGTAAAGGCCTCTATTGCCTTCATTTGCACACTCAGGCTGTTAGACTCCCAAAACTGGCAGCATAGAGGTGTTCTTCCTAAATATTATCTTCAGCAGAAAATTCTGCTTACAAACACCAGGCTAAATCACCCTCTCCAGGAAAAAAAAAAAAAAACCAAAAAAAAAAAGACACCCAGAAAACCAAAAAACAGAAAAAAAAAAAAAAAAAACCAAAAAAAACCCCCCCAAAAAAAACCACCTTAAATTAAGGGACCACTGAAAAATAAGACATGAAGCAGAAGTCTGAGGTGTTCAAACATGCTTTCATATTATGTGACCCAAAACTACAAGAACATACAGCTTTTAAATAAACAAAAAAATGCATTGTTTTTTCTCTCATTGCATGTTTCCGCCTTGCAGACATCATCAAGGTCTGCTTGTTGTGTTTTCAAGAGGAAAATATATTAGGTGCCTTACCCATAGGCACCAGGTTGTGAGGAGCACCAAGGCCTTCTCTACTCCATTCTGAACCAGTCCCATCCACACAGACTTTCCCAGCCTAACCCTCACCCTCGTAAGTTTGCCAGCCTGTCTCCAAGAACCCAAAGAAGACAGAATGCCTGAATGATGTCTGATGAGTGCTGAGCAAAGGGGATTACCCTTGAACCTTCTGGCAATAAGAGAAAATAGGAGAAGACCTGTCAGAGCAAGCTCTCGTGTGGCACTGGGCCTGGCAGCGCTGTGGTCCCAGGCTCCTGTTCTTGCCATAGGCTTTGTAGTCACCAACATGAATGGAGCCTCAGTGGGTACCTGGAGGTTTCATCACCCATGTGGCCACATCATGGCAGAGTTCAGCACCCTGGGATTCACTTACACAATCACTAAGATGACAGGTAAACCAGGAATAATGAAGGATGGGGCAGGAGCAGAGGGGCAAGCGACAGCACATCTGCTGCTTCCATTTAACAAACTGTAAGTTTAACAAGGCAAGGAGCCGAACATTCCATCACAGACAGCTGCTCTGCAGGTACTCAGCACTACATTCACCCCTGTATCACTGTGAATGGGAAGGATTCAGCTCCAACACTGCACATCTGTGGATGTTCCAATATGAAGGCTGAGGTCATCCTGTGTACCATTTCTCCAGCCTTTCTTCTGGGCGAGACAAGCAGACCTTACTCATGGGGGCACAAAATCTGTCCAGAACAAAATCTGTTCACTGCTGCCTCAGCACTGTTCCCACAGAGCACAGCATCACTGACCTCATCTGTGAATAGAGGTAGGACGAAATTTCTTTTGTAGGTTAAAAAACCAAGTTATAAAATTTTCTTGCACCACAAAGGACTGAATATCCAGTCTATTAACCAAAGGTTCATTTGCCTTTGTCCCTCGCCCGCAACAACAACTTTTAACAAACCTTTTCCTATGCTAACTGTGTGTTCTCCTGTAATCTTTCTAACTCACTTCGATCTTCATGTAAGTTTAGTTAAAATACTTCCCATTAACGACAGGCATTTCAAAATTAAGAGAAGAGCACCTGAAGCCCTGACAAGGAAGATGCCTGCTCGGGGTTCGACTGAGAGGAGCCTCAGGCAATCAAGGTCCCCGCGGCCCCTCCTCAGCAGGAATACAGAAACGGAAAACAAGGTGTAAAACCTCGCGAATTGAGATAACGACGCGTGAAACGGATTCGTCTGGAGGAAATTAGTGTAATTTACTGCTATTTATTCAGATAGTGAGAAAATTAAGCCCCACTACCACCCACCCACCGCTCCCCTTTCGCAGTCGGAGCTGCCTCCCTCGGCTGCCGGCTCTTGCCCGAAGCCGCGCTCAAGAGCGCCTGGGCCCGCTCTGCCCAAGCTCCCGACGCTGCAGCTCCTCGACACACCGTGCTCCAGCCTGGGCCCGCTCTGCCCAAGCTCCAGACGCTGCAGCTCCTCGACACACCGTGCTCCAGCTCGGCACGGCCGCACAAGGCCTACCGGGGCACGCCTATCCGCAGAGGACGCGGCGGGACAGTGTGTCGCGGACCCGGGAATTTGCGTTCCACCTCCCCGCAGTCTGGCACAGGCAGCCTTTCCCTCGGGTTAACCAGCACCCGGACGCTGTCGGCGGGAGGTTGGGGCCTGCCGCCGGTCGGTCCGTGCTGCAGCGCTGCTCGTTCCCTGCGGCGCTCCGTTGGGGCCGGGCATGGGGCTGCCACAGAACAGGCTCAGTCCACCCCAGTGAGGCGGCCCCAGTTTGTCCTCACAAAGACCTACTTCTTCCCCATGCACAGACACACAGCACAGCCCTTTCCAGTCCAATGGTGCCCGAGCACAGGGCTTTTGTCTAATGGGCTGAGTCTGACTGAAGTGCTGGCCGCAGAGCTGGGAGAGGAACCTGCCCTGGAGTGCCTGTGAGAGCTGCCCACTCCAATTCCCACCCTGTTTCCTAGCAATCAGGCTTTGGCATCACCACTTAGCGAGAGAGCAGAAACAGCCTCCCCAGGGGCACAGTAGAGCCCCATCACTGGCCACAATCAAGTTTGTGGTTGGCTAGGTGCTGGCTAGTCTCTTCCAGGCCGCCTGTCCCACACGAGGGCTGGATGAGGTCACCTTCCAAGGTCCCTTCCCACCTGGGCTGTTGCAGGATCCTATGATGATTCCATTTTCAGACTGGGAATAATGGTTCTTTCTCCTTAGCTCTCAGTGGTCTGGGGACTTGTGTCTGTGGAAATGAGCCCCTGCCTGTGGCAAGAGAGGATGCAGGGCAGATGTGTTTCTGGGCACAGCTTGGGCAGATGCCACCTATGTGCACTGAAAAGGGGGACACTGAGATGGGCTTTGTCCATGAGGCCAGCATGGGCCATGGGGTGAGAGTGTGCAAGGCAGGGCTGGAAAGCTTTCACAGTGTTTTGCTCTGGCTAGGTGAAATGGTGCTGTTGGAAATGTCAGCCTGGCTCATGCTGTCTCTCCCCTAACCCCCATCCTGCCATGTTTTGACTGAAGCATAGAGATGAGACAGTGAAGCCAATGGCCCACACCCACATGCCCAGCTGCAAAGGAAGAACAGAGAAAGATCTCTTCACGTATCTGTCTTTAATCAATATGTGTTTCAGGTATTAAAGAAGCTTTGTACATAGAATGTCGGACTCCAAAACTGAAGGCAGGATCCCGGACCTTGGTCACTGACAACTGGAAGGTGAAATTGGGATGAGAAGAGGTGAATATGGTGCCTCGTTCTCCAGAGTTATCCTCAAGTGAAGGCTGTACAGTATAACAAATTGGTGGGCTGACTGACTTACCTTTCCCAGGCTGTATTCTGCTGGACCTGGACCTGCTCAGACCCAGCACAGCCCTTTCTAGTCCAGTGGTGCTGAGCACAGGGCTTTTTTCACCAGAGTGAAATAAACTTATCCAAAACCAATTTGTTGTGAATAAGGAGACACTTCTGTATTTCAGTGCCAGGAAGAAGGGGGATTACTCCTCCAAATTTGTTCTGATTAGCAAATAAAATGCATCCATTTTATATGCTCTTTGTGCTGTGTTGTTTTCACATAAATTCTTTTACATAGTGTGCATCATATGCCCATTCTTAAGTTTTACCTTTACAATGACTGGTCTCACTAGTTATATAACTACCATAATAATCCTACCCTAAGGCTATCATTAGTCATATCTAGTGAGATCTACTGATTGGAATCCTTGATATTCAAATCAGGCTGGGAAGGGTAAGGGGTTTCCTACGATACTAACTGGTCTTCATGACAATTTCTATAGCGTCTTGAACAAGGCATAGGATTCCTGGTAACTTCTTGGTAATGGTTTCTCTGGCTGAATACTTTAAAAACCTCACTCCTAACATTCCTATATCATGTGCTTCATGGTTTTGTAATTGCAATCATAACTAACACTTTCGTCTTTTTTATTATGAAATAAATTGTTTTGCCAGTGTATTTTTAAGAGGCTGAGTAGAATGAAGTGCTGGCCAGAGAGCTGGGAGAGGCACCTGCCCTGGAGTGCCTGTGAGAGCTGCCCACCCTGTTCCCTAGCAATCAGGCTTTGGCATCACCACTTAGCGAGAGAGCAGAAACAGCCTCCCCAGGGGCACAGTAGAGCCCCATCACTGGCCACAATCAAGTTTGTGGTTGGCTAGGTGCTGGCTAGTCTCTTCCAGGCCGCCTGTCCCACACGAGGGCTGGATGAGGTCACCTTCCAAGGTCCCTTCCCACCTGGGCTGTTGCAGGATCCTATGATGATTCCATTTTCAGACTGGGAATAATGGTTCTTTCTCCTTAGCTCTCAGTGGTCTGGGGACTTGTGTCTGTGGAAATGAGCCCCTGCCTGTGGCAAGAGAGGATGCAGGGCAGATGTGTTTCTGGGCACAGCTTGGGCAGATGCCACCTATGTGCACTGAAAAGGGGGACACTGAGATGGGCTTTGTCCATGAGGCCAGCATGGGCCATGGGGTGAGAGTGTGCAAGGCAGGGCTGGAAAGCTTTCACAGTGTTTTGCTCTGGCTAGGTGAAATGGTGCTGTTGGAAATGTCAGCCTGGCTCATGCTGTCTCTCCCCTCCCCCCCATCCTGCCATGTTTTGACTGAAGCATAGAGATGAGACAGTGAAGCCAATGGCCCACACCCACATGCCCAGCTGCAAAGGAAGAACAGAGAAAGATCTCTTCTGTCTTTATCTGTCCGTATCTGTCTTTAATCAAAATGTGTTGCAGGTATTAAGGCAGCTTTGTAGAGAGAATGTCGGAGTCCAAAAGTGTAAGCAGGATCCCGGGCCTTGGTCAGTGAAACCTGGAAGAGGAAGAGGTGAATATGGTGCCTCATTCTCCAGAGTTGTCCTCAAGTGCAGGTTGTGCAGCATAATATATTGGTAGGCAGGCTGCCTTACCTTTCCTGTGTTGTAGTCCGCTGGACCTGGAAAACGATCCTTCCCAGCAAATTTGGTTTTTAGTCCCATTGAGTACTTGGGAGCCCTGGTTTTGTAGACGTCCAGATCCACCCTATCAAATGCTGCAGGACCTGGTGTCTGCAAGAGAAGCAATGAGGTTGGTGGGTACAAGAGACAGTGTGAATTCTTCGTGGGTGTCCATGAGTAGTGTGCTGCTTGAGGTGGCTGGCCAGAGGAGCAGTGGGGGAGGTCTGGAGCCTTGGGAATGAGGGCTCCTTGGGAAGAGAGGTAGATTTCCCAGAGGACGAGGGAGATTGTTGCCATTAGTGCCAGTGAGCTGTACCGTGCCAAAGCTGCTGGTGTGGGAAAATGAGAGGCGGCAGGTGTCGGTGTTACTGGTAATGGCAGAGCCAGAGGCCCTGTAGCTTCTTGTGCTTTGTTGCAGGTGCAGGGTAATGTGTCTTATGTGGGGATAAAGCAGGCATTGGGGCCCTTCTGTCCTGAGCAGTGCAGCTGAGCTTCTGCTGCTGCTGTGAGAGAACAGACAAGCACAGCTCACCTTTGCCACGTCTTGAAAACAGCTCTGGTAATTACTCTTCCCCTTCATGGAGTAGCACGGTTCGGCATGAGTGTACGCTGTGTGGGGTCCCAGAATCCTTGGCAGGGTGTAGGTGCCAGGACCTGGAAATGGAATAGGTAGATGGGATAGGTCAGTCCTGTGGGAAAGGGTGCAATGCCTGGGTGGAAGAGAGTCAGCCTTCCAAGCTGGTTGTGAGGAGCAAGAAGGGTGTCCTGCCCCTCATCCCAATGCCTCTGGCTTTTGTTGCATGGAGTGTGCCTTGGCTGTTTGAAGCCAGAGCTGCCAGTTCTTCTGTGAGATGGGAGAAGTTGATGCTGTGGAACAGGAAAAAGCTTGTTGAGCACACACTGTGTCTTGCTGCCTAGGCTTTTTGCTAGGCCTGTTGAAGAAGCTGCAGATGCTCCCTGGAGGACACACAGGCTGTAAGAGTGTTTGTTTCCCCAAGTTCCATACCTGGTGTTCGGAACCTTTTAAAGTCCTTGGGCCGGAACATCATGAGACTCGCGGGTGCAGTATAGTAGATGTGTTTGTTGGCAGGATCTGTGATGTAGTCACCTGGGACAGAGAAGGAGACAAGAAAAGAAGTGAAGCTGGGAACCTAACTGCAAGCCAAAGAGGAGAAGGCAGGAGGAGGTGCTCAGTCTTGCTTTCTGTCTGGAGCCCTCTGAAGCTTATTCAGGGCATGGGCAGAGGGGGCTTTGTGCCCCAGTGGCACAGGGCAACAGTAAGGCATGCTTGTCTGGCCTGAAAGAAGGGATGCAGAAATGCTACTCACTGGGTCCAGGGGTGACCAAAATCTTGGTCTTCGGACGTGCTGTCACAAGTGCCGATGGAGCCATCTGCTTCCCAGTCTTGGTAATGGATGATTCGATGAAGTATCGAGGACCTGGTGAGCAGGTTGCTTCGGAGGGAGCTTTGGTCCCTCGAAATGAGTATGCAGGGGCTCTGTCTTTGGTGGGATCATGAGCTATATAACCTGGGAAGAAAAGCTTGTGAAAGGACCTGTGCCTGCAATTGTCTACTAAAAGGAGGTTTCTAAGCAGAAGCAAACGCTGTGCTGCGCCTCCCGCTGCCACTACCTCCCTGTGATAGTTGGTTTACCTGTTGACCCAGGGAGCCCGTACTTGGGACCTGGGGTGCTGAATTCTGCAAGTATTGGGCCCCGTCGGGGATGAGGTCTCCAGGTGCCTACCCAGGGTCCCTCCATGCTGGTGGCCAAAGAAACTACAGGAAAAACAGGAGAGCTACCAAAGGGCTTCTCTGACACAGCGCTGGTACAGAGCTTTCCTGTAGCCCAGAGCAGGAAGAAAGCAAACTGGCATCACGAGAGAAAGTGAAGAAAAGTGAAGAGCAACAAGAAGTAGCAGATGGAGGAGAAGGCAGAATGGAGGGAAAACAGCAAGTTAGAAGCAAAGATGCAGCAGAAACTCCTGCTGTGCCCTCAGGCAGTAATTGTTGGCGTAGAAGCGCAGCTCTGGCTTGGCTTGAAGGTAGCCTCCTGCGCGTCTACAAATGAATTTACTCAGCTGGAGTGTGGCGCTGACAGGGTGAGGTGCAGGGAGGGACACCAGCCCCTCGCTGACATCATAATCCATTGCTAGGTGGATCCCTCATCATTGACATCCATCACCAGGTGACATCCCAAAGGGCCATTCTCACCCAGTGACGAGCAAACCCTGCTGTGATTTTGAGACCCTTAAGCTGTTCATGCTGCAGCACTGCCGTGTGGCCTGCAGGGCTCCTCTGGGGCTGGGCATGGGGCTGCCATGGAACTGGCTCAGTTCAGTGTGGGGCAGTCCCAGTTTGTCCTCACATAGACCTGCTTTTGTTCCCATGTGCCCAGAGACCCAGCACAGCCCTTTCTAGTCCAGTGCTGTTTAGCACAGAGCATTTGTCTAATGGGTTGTGTCTGACTGAACTGCTTGCTGCAGAGTTGAGAGAGCTGACAGAGGCTTTTGCCTCAAAATGTCTTTGAGAGCTGCCCACTCTAATTCTCACCCCTTGCCCTAGTAACTAGGGTAGAATCCTGTTGACATCACCACTTAGAGGTGAAAAAACAACCTCCCCAAAAACTAGAATTAAAGAGGCTTTGTCTCAAAGTTAGTTCTTGTCTTGCTTTGGCCCTTCCATTAACTCTCTGGGGGGAAAGGAGTGAGTAAGCATCTGACGTGGCTTAGCTTCTCTCCAAGCTCAACAACTGAATTCTAATATTATTTAGCAACAATGTAAAAATGCCCTTCTTTGGGGTTGAATAAAAGTTGTGAGTTAGCTGTAACTGCCACTTACTCCACCTGCAGTCATTTACAATGGGAGATCCCCTGAAATGAGCTAGGAAGTTGATAGTGTCCAATGCCCAGCTTGTGCTTTGTATCTTGTAATGCTTTTCCAAGGTCTCTGTGCTCTGAGCTTACTATTAGAGGGGAGGGAGAGAGCAAAGCTATCAATAGTATCAATTGTTCTGGCCTCTCCATTTGAAGGCCCCCAGTTTCTGCATCACTCCTCAGATGCTACTGATGTCTTCAAGCAGTTTTTTCCCTTTAATGCCCACTTCTGCAGGTTATTTTGGGAGTTCATGGTCAACAGGATTTTCAATGTTGATGCTTCAGGAACATATGAACACTTTCAAGGTTTCCCTGGGAGGGTTGGACAGAGTTAAGTTTCCTTATTCTGATTTTGCCAGTAGTGTGTGGATCTCTATGCCTGAACTATGAGTTCTCCCGCTAGGTTTTTCCTTCCCCAGATTTCATGACTCTTTGTCAGTAATACCATTCATTACCCATATTTTGTTTAGTGACCCTTAAAGCTTTTCAGTCTCCAGATTTTTATGGTTTGACACTCATATGGCTTTCCTTCCATTTTGTGCTACATGGGCTGTGGTTAATATAGCATCAGTTAGGAAATACACTCTGAAGCATATGAATTGTGATTTGAATGGAGATGCTGTGAGTGAGGTAAAACCGTGGAGTGGCAAACTAGAAGACATAAGAGTCCTTTAACACAAGCTGATTTGTGTAGTGAAGGGCACTTAAACTTCAAAGGCACACACAGATGGAATTTTCTCCCACTGGTCAAGCACTCATGCAGTGTAACCAGCAGTTTTCATAACACTTGCAGTCTTTGATACACTAACAAAATGGTATATGAGCTTGTTGTCTTACCATAGGTGAAGCAGATATTGAGAAGATTGGCAGGAGTTAAAACATTACCAGTGCAGCTGGCTAATCACATTTCTTGTTGGATTATTTAGAAATGCCAGCATTAGTTGATGAGTTCCAGTTCTTCTGTTCTTGGTGGCATTCACCTGAGTCTTCTGCATCTGTTGTTTTTTTTCTCCTCCTTTCTTCTGTGTCCTGTATCAGTGCAAAGCTATCAAATAAGTTGTGTTTAGATGATGCTTTGGAGCCTACTGATGGCAGCTCCTCCAGGCTTGGGTCATAGTTTTACCTCTGGAGACTTAAAAAAAAAGCCATTCTGGTAAACAGCCTTCTTGGATGATGGTATTTTAACTGTGAAGCCTGATAACAGCTACAGATAAAAGCTTTGCAGTGGGTTGGAGGTGTTAAAGCTGGAGCCCAGTAATAACAGTCCCCCAGAAGCATCCCACAGACGGAGGCATTTACCCTGGAGCATAGTGATAGCAACCCCATGAACCATCCCTTATGGAGAGCATTCAAAAAATGAAGAGGACAGCCCACAGCCCAAAGGCTGTTTCCCAGAGCTGCCATCAGTAGGCTCCAGAGCCTAGAATGAATGAAAGCTAGAAATTCATTCGCATAGTCTGTGAATAGCAATAGGCAATAACTTACAAAACAGGATAATTTACTGGTATTGAAACTGGCAGTGGGTGTAACATACCTGGCACATTTTTAATATACTTAGCATATTTTATTTTAAACTTCTTAAAAGGATATACTGTAACTGATCTGTGTTTAGTGAGAGTATGGAAGAATGTTGCTGGAAGTTGTAGCCTGTATCAACACAAAAGGATGACAGAATAAAGGAAGCCTATTAAACACTTCAGTACTAATTACTGTGTATGATATATTATTCACAAATAACTGGATACCTATACATTTTCACTGTATGTTACAAGGTCTTTGTACAGTGCTCTTTAGGAAGTGACACAGTTGGCTTAATTAAAACAAAAATTAGTATAACAGATTTTTTACCTGTATGTTTCAGAGATAATTTCGGTGATGTGGAGAATCCCTGCTGTACCCACAGCTCCCAGCATAATACATGCTGATGCAGTCAAATATCAAATTGTATGAGCAAGAGTGTATGCCACACATACACATACACATACACTTTTGACAAATAAATGGAAAAAAAAGCTAAAAATGTTAGCAATTAAGTTTGATCTGGTTTCAACTTTTGATTTTAAATGAGATGGAGGCTTAAATATTTATACATTTGAGAGCTTTCATGTCTGTGCAGTTTCCATTCTGATTCAGTTAAGAACAGAGTTTGAGTCTTTACCTCTCATCAGCAAGGTCATTTATGACAATAAATGAAAATGCTTAGATAAATTTGTCTGATTTTCTTTTTTTGTTCCACTCCACTGTGGACCTTTAACAGTAGTGCTCCAATGCCAAGAAATACTACTCAAAACTTTAATTACATGGAAGTGGCAAGAAGTACCCCTCATGAGCGTTCTTTTGGTTCAGAGAACACAGACTGGAGTTATCAGACCCTTCTGTACCTCTGTTTTTAAGAAGAATGTTAAGCATTTCATTGACATCGATTCCACTAATGTGTTTGGTGTCAACTGTGTAAATGCACTTAGAGGTCCTGAGGCTGTCTCTATAAGCCCTTCAAAACTGTAGATCTGCTGCTTCAATCTAGGGACTCATACGTGGAATGCTTGCTGGACCAAACAGTATGACAGATGCTTTTTGACATCAAAATGAAAAACAAAGCAGAAACATAAACCCCAAATCATTAATTACATTTTTTTCCTTAGAATATTAGATGATAACTATATGTTCATAGGAGAAGTTAATTTGATTTACAACTCTAGTAATTAAATAAATGCCATGTATTTAATAAATCCAAAAGAAACCTTTAAAACAAAAATTTGAGATTACACAAGCATCAAAGTCTATGATATCACATAATTTATGGTTTATACAATCAGGAACTAGCTTGTACAGCTCTAATCCTCTGAGAGATCATGGTATATGTGGGGTAACTGGGAAAACCAGCATGGGATGGGAGAATGTGTTCTATAGCAAGGCTGTGGTTTTGTGTTTCTAGCCAGCCTGCACAGGTGGCTAGCCCAGAGAAAGGTGTAACTCTGGCCCCTTCCTCTCAACCCTTTATTGAGCTGAATGGAGTTGCTCATTCAGGAAAGAAATGCATGCCAAGTACAGCTTGGCTTTGGTTTACCCCAGAGCAGGGGGATAATCCAAGGACAGATCAGGAGTCTCACTGTGCAGCATCCTCATCTGGGCTTCTAGCTAGTTTATACCAAAGAAACCATTACATTAATTTCACACCAGCTAACATTTTAACTTTAATTCTTCAGTTACCTTAGTGGAAAAAATATTTTTTTTATTTTAATGTAAAGTAGCATAGACTTGAAATTAAGTCTGTGATAGGTAATTTGGGGGTTTTTAATAATCATAGATTTATTGATGAACTTTTCCAATAAAAAGCAGAAAAAGAATAATATCTTATAAAGTAAAGAATATTATCTAAGGAAAAAAGAATTAGTTTGCAAGAAGAGTATTACCTCCTATTTTTGGAATTTCTGTAAAATTCCTGTCTCGGCTGTATTTCAAGAATCTGTCTATAGGTTGCATTCCTGAGCCTATCAGCCTTACAGATCAGTTAATAAAAGTCAATCAGTGATTGTTTAACTTGTCTGCTACTGCCTGAAGCAGAATTACAAAAGCTAAATGTGTTCAAAACTCCACCAGGAGTTTCTGTCATCTTAAAACTCCAAGTGTATGACCTCATGGCAACTAAAAAATAAATATTCCACAACAGCTTGAAGAAACTTGCAGTTACTATGCATTCATGTCAACAAAATAAGAAATCACGCTTGAGGAATAGCAATGTTTTCACTTTCTGCTCTTAGAATGATTCATTTAGAAATGGAAACTAATGGCAAAAGATGATGAATATGAAACAACTGACTAGCAGAAACCAACAAATGCAATTAATTAGAAAATAGTAATTTGATTGCTAAGTGAGAAGGTTTATAAGCAACATAGAATTGCCATGTGCATTAATCGGGTTCGCTGCAGTTGCAATTAACTGTTCAATACTAAGCCTCCTCACATATTCTGAATATTCTGATTCACCATGAATTTCTACATAGTCCTGACTTTGAACTTTCATTAGTGTTCATTCTTCTGCATACTCAGCCAGGGTATATTTTGTTTCATGAAGATGACTTTCAAATGCACTAAAGTAATTTGTTAATGCAAATTGTTTTTCTTTCATGAAGTCACACACGATTTTTGTTAAATGTGAGGAGAAACACTCTAAGTAATTGCTATAGAAACAAATCTGCAAT